GAGGGATTTTAGTGGGCAAGCAAGTTCGCAAGAGTTTTCTGAAGGAGTCTACATCAAGAGCAAGTCAATCTTTACAAGAAATACATGTCGATGTTTGTGGTCCTATCAAACTATGTTTGTTTGGTAAGAATCTGTATTTTCTATTTTTTTATGATTATAGTAGAAAAACTTGTGTATACTTCTTAAAAGAAAAGTATAATATGTTTAATTATTTTAAGAAGTTTAAGGCATTAGTTGAAAAAAATAGTTATTCTATAAAATCACTTAGGACAAATAAGGGGTGAATTTTGTTCTAATGATTTTAATGAGTTTTGTGAAGATCATGGTATAAAGAGCCTTTAATGGTGCCTAGATCCTTACAACAAAATGACATGACGAAGAGAAAGAATAGAAGTATAATCAAATGGCAAAAAACATGCTTAAAACTAAGAAAATGCCTAAAAAGTTTTGGGTCGTAGTCTTAGATTGTACTATTTACTTGTCAAATATGTGTCCTATTAAAAACTTAAATGATATGACTCCATGAAAAGAATGAAGTGGAAGAAAGCCAATTGTTTATCATTTGAAAGTTTTTAAGAGCATTGATTATGTGCATGTAGATGATCAAGTAAGAATCAACAAGATGACAAGATAAAAAAGATGATATTTATGGGTTATGAACAAAAGCCCAAAGGAAACAAACTAAACAACTCTAATAAAGGAAATATGATGATTAATAGAGATGTCAAGTTCAATGAAGAAGAAACATGAGATTAGAAGGTATATAATGGTAAAAAATATGACTTCCTACTGATTCATGATAAAGTGAAAGAAAGATATGAAGATCATCAAGAACCTATAGTTACACCTCCACAAATACCAATGAACTCAACTTCTTTTTTTTTTCTCTCATTTTAGTAGAATCTCAAATAATAGTACTCCACCAAGTCCACTAGGAAAGATAAGGAGGTCACTAATTGTATTGATGATGATGTAATATTATATTGTTACCTCGCTATATATAATCATATAGTGTTTGAAGAGGCCATAAAGGTGAAAAGTGGATAAAGGTGAAAAGTGGATAATTGCTATGGATTAGAAGATTATATTGATCGAGAAGAATGAAACATGAAAATTTATTCTTAGACTAAATGGAAAGAAACTAATAAGTGTCAATGAATCTAGAAAAAAAGAAGAAGAAGAAAGCCAAATAAGAGGTGGAGAGGTACAAGGCAAGGTTAAAAGAAAAATGTTATGGTCAAAAGCATGAGATTGATTATAATGAATTATTTAATCCATTTTTTAGACTGGAGACCATTTAATTAATCATGATCACTGCTACCCAACATAGATAAAAAATCTATCAAATGGATGTCAAATCAGCCTTTCTTAATGGTTTTCTACAAAGGAGGCCTATATTGAGTAACTTATGGGTTATGAAGTGAAGGGACATGAAGACAAAATATTAAAATTAAATAAAGCCTTGTATGGATTAAAGCAAGCCCCAAAGGCTTGGTATAATCTCATTGATGGCTACTACTTAAAGAATGAATTTATAAAATATCCTCGTAAATGTGTTATATATATGTAAAGATAAAAGATAATTGTGATACTTTTATTGTATATTTGTATATGTATGACTTGGTTTTTACAAGAAATAATCCAAAGATGTTTAGAAACTTCAAGCAACCAATGATTCAAGAGTTTGAGATGATAAATATTGGTCTCATGTCCTACTACTTAGAGATTGAGATCAAACAAAGAAAGATAGAATCTTTGTGAATCAAGATAAGTTTGCAAAGAAGGTTCTCGAGAAGTTCAAGATGGAGGATTGTGTAAAAGTAAATACTCTGGTTGAATATAGAGTAAAGATGTCAAAGAATGATGAATAAGAGAAGATAAACTCTACAACATTTAAGGGCTTAGTTGAGAGTTTAAGATATTTGACATGTACTCATCCATATATTTTTTTTGGAGTAAGACTTGTGAATGGATTTATGAAGACATCAACTATGACACACTTCAAAGCATTAAAGTGAATTCTTTAGTATATCAAAGGTACAGTTGATTTTGATTTGTTCTATGATTATTCTAATAGCTTTGAACTTGTAGGTTATATTGATAATAATTGGGTTTGAGATATGGATGATATAAAAAGCACTACCGATTTTGTTTTCTACATGAGAGACACAACATTGACATAAAGTTCAAATAAGTAATCTATAGTCACTTTGACAACATGTGAAGCTAAATATATAGCTACTATAACATGCGTTTATCATTCCATGTGACTAAGAATATTATTGAAATAATTGTGAATACCACAAGAGAACTTAAGAAAATTTATGTGGATAACTCATCAACCATTATTTTAGCTAAAAATCCAGTTTTCATGATAGAAGTAAGATATTGATACAAGATTCATTATCTAAAAGAATGCATTACAAACAAGAAAGTTGAAGTCAAGTACGTGAAGATACAATACCAAGTCGTGGATATCTCACAAAACCATAAAAAAAAATGTTTTTATCAAAATAAGAGATATGTTAGGAGTTATGAAGAGATTAAGTTTAACAAATGGTGTTGAAAATTAAACTCGATTTCTGATTTTTTTTAAAGAATAGAGGTACCGGTCCATTGGTTCAGTTGCCAAACTATAATTTTGTTTAAATTAAGATTTCTTTATATTAATTTAATTCCTTGATTATTCAGAACTTTATACCTACAAAAAGCTTGTGAATAAGGATTATTAAGTAGTATGGAAGGAGAGAGAATAGCTAAAAGGACTTAAAGAAAAACACTTAATCAAAAGTATACTTTCCTCTCAATCTTCTTCTTGTTCTTAAGTTTTTCAACTTTACATTATTAGTTTTATCTTATACCACATTTATCTTTCTTCCAACATATTGATCCACCCTAAAGTCCAACAGTTGTATAGAATAGAATTATGAGTCGAAATTTTAATTGAAATTGTCTTACGTATCATCCGTTTCACTAATTATTCAATGAGCTTGATTTTCTTCTTTTCATTTACCGTGGCCTTTTAAATCCTTCTTGTTTTCAATATATTTAAGCACCAATTTCTCAGCCATCTGCTTCTGAGGTTGGTGATGACGAATTGGCTACATGCTGGCTGATGTTTTGAAACAAAATAGTGTTGACAACTCTGGCATGCGTTGATCCGAATGCAAAGACTGCACTGGCATTCGTGAAGCTGAGAGCTGAAGGAGAGCGTGAATTCATGTTTTTTCCGCAACTTCAAGAACAGAACTTGATAGAAAAAACAAAAGGTGTTCCCTTTCCTTGTAGAAGCATATTGGAAACGGGAATTTTCAAGATTGTTGATCTAGTAATTGTTCTGGGATTTTAGACAGGCTTTTGTTGTCAATCTTCTTAAATTGTTATGTTGATTTTGGCATGTTGCTTAAACCTAAGGGTCACAATTTATCACTTCAGTATCTTGCAGGTCTTGCTGCTATAGGCTGTTAGCCTGTATAAGTTGATAAACCATTTGCTCTTTCTTAAATTGTTTTGCAGGGAAAAATATTTCGCTATGTATCTATTAGTTTTATTGAGGAGCCTTGTAAGTCATCTCATCTTGCTGCCTTGGACATTGCTAATAAGGCTGGTTGTCTCCTCTGTTATGACCCTAATTTGAGACTGCCACTATGGCCATCTGAAGAAGCTGCGGAAAGGAATCGTGAGCATATGGAATGAAGCTGACATTATAAACGTGCATGTTTGAACAATTTGAGATTTCGATATGAAATATCATCTTTCATAAAATGAAAGTGAATAATATAGTGGAACCGTGCTCATTTAAATTTGCAGATAAGTGAGAGGAAATTGAATTCTTGACTGAAGGTGCTGATCCGCCGGACGACAATGTAGTGTTAGAGAAGTTTTTCCACCCCAATTTTAGGCTTTTCTTGTCACTGAAGGCGCAGATGGCTGCAGATACTATACAAAGGTTAGAATTTATGCCGATGTTAAGGATAATTTAAGCTCTCATTAGGTCTAAAACTCTTCATGCTCGGAAATAGTGTCAGCGGGTCAGGAGACCGTGTAAATTAAGAGTTGGCTCTTGTTTTTCACAACATGTTTAGTCCAACCAGAACGACATTCAGCTCCTTTTCTTTATGCCTAGCTGCACTAACTAATTAATTACTTCTTTTCGGAACTTCATGCTGGAATCCAAGGGCAAGGTTTCTGGTATTAAAGTCCATGCTGTTCATACAACTGGTGCTGGTGATTCCTTTGTGTGGGTGGAAGACAGAATATCTTTGCTGCAGACCTAGATCTAACTGTAAAAATTCTATAGAAGTAGGTTATAACTAACAAGTAGAACCCTTCCAATTGCTTCTAAATGCAAACATTAACACACCAGTTTGAAATATTCCAAACCCACCCTGCATATTGCGTTTCAAACATACGTTTGACATGGAAAGGTTTTAGTGTTTTCGGGATTATTTTGATGTATAGATATACAAAATAAAAAGAATTTGAAAAAAAAAATTTAATAAATTTTCAAGAAAAAATCACTTTAAAAAATATCATGCACGACAATATCAAATATACTTATAATATTATATTGTCTGTGCAAGCATGGCACACATGTTAGCCATGCCATGTCCTAGGTGGAATAACTTTGGTTCCCATCACTTGTCAAGAAGGCTATAGAATTCGATCATATATGTTTGCGCATGCGTACGGGTTTGTTTTAGTTTATATGCACAATTTTGTTTTTTAATTTCATGCTGGACAATCCTCCCTTTAGGAACTACATCTATGTTTGCTATTCCTCGGACTAGTTCTGTTAAAAAAATGATTTAATTGTCCTAAAATGCCCAGAATCAAATGTTATTTACTGCAAGAATGAAGTGCCTGAGGGATGAGCATCATCATCCCATCAAGTAACCAAATATGTTTGAACAAAATGCAGACACAATAATGATCATGATGTCTAATGGGCATCTACACCCGTTAGTGAACACATTTGAAGAAAATCGGCGCCAGATAAATGCACAGAGAAAGTATAATGATATGCAATAAATATATATCAGATTACAATTTTAGTTAATCTCCTTCATGGTAAGCTGGTAGCTTTATTAACAGACAGCATATAAATTGCTCTTAGAATAATAATATTGCCGTGGTTGTTGCTTGCGCAAATGCAATACAGTTAAAGTCTAAGAATATTTATGAATATGAGAAGGAAGGTCTCACAATAAGATGGCGTTCACCACTAGTTTCTTAGGGGAGGCGCCTTGTTCTTGTTTCTGGTAGTCCAATGAACAATTCGGTCTCCACATCCGAAATTGAACTGCTCTCTCTCTGTTCCCTTGAGAGTACTCGCCATGGCTGGACGCCACACTGAAAAGGAAAAATTATATATACTGGTATATAAACAAGTTTGTTGTTTATAAATACATTGAAAAAGAAGATCAACCCCCCAATGAAACCCGAGTTTGTGCTAATTAATTTGGCAAACAATTTCCAGAGGAAAAAATTTAGTAGAATTTACAAGTTGTCGATTCAAATTTATTGGACTAAATTGTAAACAAAGTATGACGAGTTTACGCTGTAGGTAAACCTTTATTATTTATAATTCAATCCAATTGGGTTGAATTGATGGAAATGTGACGAGTACAATTTGACTCTTCTTGTTTTTTTTTCTTTTTTCTTTTTTCATAAAGGAGCTTGTTTCTCAAAGTGAGATTTTCCAGATCATTTCCATGTGGAGGATGGTCATAGGTCCAGGCAAGAACGTAGCCTCTCAAATGAAATTCCATGGTAAAAGAGTAAGGTTATGCCAGCAAATCGAATTTTTTCAAAACTTCCATGAAGTTCAAATTCTTCTCCATCCTAGAATTGTTAGAAATAATTAGATATGCATTCAACATCGAAACCAATATAGCCCATCAACTAGATTAGAGATAACGGTTTAGTTAAAGCTACCGAGAAAGGGTAATAAGACCTGCAACTGCTTATGACGATGACAACAAAATGAGAAATGATGGAAGTTCATGGCCGAAAAATAATAGTAGCGACTACAAGTATAAATTTTTTCACCTTGTTAGACAGCCTTGCATTTTCAGCTGTCAGTAGCTTCTCTTGAAACATACGTATAGGACATGGAACATAAAGTTAGCAATTTGCGGAACACTCTTCAAAAAATCTTATTTACTACGTCACCATATATGTTGGCAAGGAATTCTTCGGGGAAGAGAAGAAAAGATGCCAAGTACCCTTACTGAAACAGAATTTGGATTCACAGAAATTCAACTTCTCCACAGCCTTTGAATTCTTTTTTCACTAGTTCTTGGCATAAAAATGAAGTGATTATATACCTTTTGTTTTAGTTGCTCAATCTGTTCTCTGAAAACCTGATTCTGAGCATAGCCAAAGAACGAGAATGTTAGCTAGGTTATCAGCTGAATAAGACTTGAAGCAAAAACAAAGTGGTAATGATGTTTATGGCCAGACCTTTCTAGCTCGGATGGTGCTTACACTCCTCTCTAACTGTTGTTCGATTTGTTGCAGTTCTTCAATAGTGCACGATCCCAAACATTCTCCTAGTAGCTTTCTGAAGCATTTTAAAATTAATTTTCAAACATTTACTTATAATATTTAATTCCAACAGTCAATCAATTCATCAAACTATACTATAAGCACAAAAGGTTTAAACTAGTTTTTTGAACCGTTTTGAAACTTCAAGAAGCTCTATCTTCTTTATCATGCTAGCTGCTTCGCCCTTCAGTTGCTGCCATTCCAAATTTATATACATGAGAAAATTAAGGGAGGAAAACCGAAAGTTTTTGTTGGCAACCAAAGAGACTAAAAGCAGAAGAAAAGGGAAAGTAATTGATGTTAAATATTTTTGTTCAGAAACGTGCAAATGCTGACTGACACTTAAAGATGCCTAAACGGATAAATCTATGCAAGCAGCATAGAACCAAAACCAATAAGATACATATCCCTTTTTAGAGATTCTTCTATGCAATGAACTCTTATCTCAAAAATGCTGAAGTCCATTTTTGAACAAGGCAAGTTCGTATCACTTTGGTTGCTTATTTGACAACGGGCAAGAAGAAGGCAAGATATAACACTGTCTATTCATTACTAGATGCCAAATACCAAAGAATCTGCAAGATGTAGCCATATCCTTTACATGGGGCCATGTATCCTAGTGCATGTAATAATGGATTCCTCGCTGTTATCTTTTATACATACTTGCCTCTTTAGAGTGTTTTGATCACTTATGACTCGCAGTTCAATAAAAAAAACAATCTGCAGGTTTTCATATAAACTGAAGCTTAGAATCACTGGTTTGATAGAAGAGAAAGGAAGGATGACCTCCACGGTCAGTTCCATTGTCTGATTGTTTGTGTTGCTTTCTTTCACATGCCTCTGATAACGTTCAATTGTCTCCTGCACGCTGAAGTCCAATAACAACGCTATTAATACATATTGCATTTTTATACAAAACAACATGAAAACGAAATAAATGAGTGCTCCTGATCTCTACAGACTACAGATCCAACTACTGAACAAGACATATGCGTATTGCTTCTAACCATGGCCAGCCAGTGGAGGAGTTAGAAAGTTTTCCTCAAGGGCTGAAGAACAACGGTATCAAGAAAACAGGGAAACTCTAGATTATAAAAATACAGAGTCTAAAATCCAATGGTTGTGGAAAGATCATCGAAGTCCAACAAATAGGCATATTCTTATTTATTGCATGTTTTAAACATGAAAAAGAAACACAATCTCAACTTTTTATTTAGAAAAAGACGAAAAAAGATATACAGAATACTCATACTAGGGTAAGTTCGAAGGGTATATACATAGAAAATCTCTTAGATTACATTTAGTCAGTGTTTCAAAAGAAATATAAATATAAATAAATATATATATATAATAAAAATATATTTAGTTGTAAAAACAGAGATATAAAATAAATATTCTATTACAGTTTTTAAATTAATTTATCCTTTCAAAACAAGAAAAATAGGGAAACACATGTCATCATTGTTCCAACTCTTACTCTATCGAGGCATTAACAAATCTCCTTTATTAACAATGCTTGATCAATTTTTTGTGTTAAAGCCAACCAATAAAAAATAACAACAAATCTTAAAAAAAAAAAAACAATTATGATAAGAAGGATGGTCGGTTTTGAGCGAAATGAAAAATGTCCACAGATTTAAGGATATAGATAATGTGGTCTCTGGGCAAAAATCAACCCTTTAATAGTTTTTACATCTCTTTTTCAGACATAATATTACTCTGGCATTGAATATGGCTAAAATCTCTATGGCAGCCTTGTTGAGAAATTTGGTTATATAATAATGAGTAAAGGAGTCAATTCAAAAGTTGACTCCAAGCTTTAAATTAAGCCTATCAATCTAAACTATTCAAAAAAATAAATAGACGAGGCATAGATTCTTGCAATTATTAGGGGGGAAATAATAACTTGGATACTTGAAGAAGGATGACCTCCATTGTTCAATTTCTCATTTTTCCAACGGGAGGCTCGATGATACTTGGTAGTTGTTCTACCATTCTAAAAATACATCTCCCCTGTATTTAACTTAAAACCTTCAAACCGGGAGATTTTTTAGTCTACAAAAGAATTATTATTTATGATAATGCTTATTGTTATTTTTGTGGTATATGTTCGTATGGAAACTAAGACTATTGATCACTCTTTTATTCATTGCTATGAGATTTAGAGGTTTTGGAATCATTTTTAATAATGAATTGGATATGGTGCATGCCAAAGACTGTTCAGCTTCTTTTGCAGGAATAGAATCATTTGTTACTTGGGAAATTTCAGTGCAAAATTATCTATACACTTTGCTGTGGTATCTTGTGATTTATATATTTGCATTATCCGTAACAAATTAGTTTTTTATATTGCTGATCTTAATTGAGATAAAATTTATAATCTAATTTTCCATCGATTAATTCAATGGCTTTGTGTTAGATCTCAAAATTTTACTTATACAGGTTGATTTAGCTAAATATTCAGATTGTATATTAAGGTGGTTGTTTCTTTGTTATTTTCAATGTAAATCTTTCTTTTAATCAGTTGATTATTTTTTTAATAGCACTAATTAAATCTTAATAATATTCTCCCTCGATTACTATAAAAAAAAAGCTTAAAACCTTTTTATAAAAATCCTAAATCTTAATCTATTAAAACATCCCAGAAAAAAAAAACCCTTTATTCAATTTTATTACAACTATTAAATGGCAGAGATTGTTAGTTTTGTGATGTAGAGTTTTGCCATCCATACGGTGAATATTTGGCGACTTTTTCTTGATCTATGAATCATGTGATAAACTATATTTTCTTAAGAGTTCATAAAGGAATTATTCTAAAATTCAAGTTGTTGCTTATTACCATTATGATTTTTTATTTCTAGTTTTTTTATTTAAAAAATGAGATAGGATGGGTTTTTTTATTAAATGACAATTTTAAAAATCAAATCAAATTTTTAAAGAAAAAGTACGTTTTGGTTTTTTGCTTTGAAATCATGCTACTACATGCCAACATCCTCACACCAGCACCACTACCATACAACAACTACAATTACCTTCTTTACCACTAGGACTATTATAATCGATTATACGATTGCCATTACTAGGCATTACCATTCTCCTTGTTACTTCATCATCGCTATCATCTGTCTTCTGTCTTGTTATTAGAACGATTATCATTAATTCTATTTTCTTCACCATAATCACTATCAAACATGCCATATTAAAAAAAAAGAAAAAAGTCTACTAGCTAAGTTATTGTTCACTAAGACTTGCAATATTATTCACTGTAATAATATAATAATAAAATTACCTTTAAACAAAAAAACCTTTTATATTAAGCCTTAGGAACAAGGGAGTCTTTTCAGCATGATACAATTATTTTTTTTCAAATTATAAAGGGGTAGGTTAGTCTTTTTACTTTTTTACACGGTAAAAATACATAGTTGCCCTATGATTTTTTTGTTAATATTAAGGAGGCTAAGGGAAAGTTTTGTATTTAAGTATTTATTAAATATTAATTTTTTAAAAAAATTATTGGTGTGTGTCACACCCACACCAGCAAAAGGGTGGCCCTCTCGCACATGTGTCGAGCCATCCAGTTACCAAACACTACCTTTTTTAGTGACATTTAAGGGATATCGATGTCCACTTCATGATGAGGATATTTTTTTTTAAACTCATATATTTTTCAATCTCATCTTTTAGTATTTACATTATTAACGATTAAGATCTGTTTTTTTATTTATTTTCTATAAGAATTTTTGCAAATTTTCAAAATAACTCGTGTGATTTTGGGTCTTTTTACTTGTTTTTTTATTGAATTTACTTTGATAATTTTTTAAATTAATATATTTTTTTAATTTTATCATTCAATATTATATCAATTGAAAATTTATTTTTTATTAGTTTCAGCCTTTAAAATTGACATTTTTGCATATCACACTTCTATTTGTCATGAGGTAATTTCCTTCAACATATTATTCCTAGGCTTTAGTTTCTCACACTGTCACCTCGTTACAATTATTATCACGTCATAATAATAATAATATGTTTTTATATTTCATATGCTAATTCTAAATGACAAATCTTCCTTAAGGTATATTTTTTAAAACAAGACCCAATTTTTAGAAAACTAGAAACAGGTTTTGGTAATTTGAAAAAAGTAAACTGCACACTTTATCAAACGAGATTGGAGAAATGATTCTGGAAATCAATCTTCTTGTATTTCGATGTTAGTGATGAACTTTGTTTTTATTACAAATTCTTAAGGTAACTAGCATAACACTATATAACACCCTTACTACAAGTCATCAGGTGTTATAGTGAAATCTAGTCTTTTGAATTTGAAAGTTTACTTGTATGAAAAATCATGAAAGCTATCACGCAGTGATATATATTAAGAAAAATAAAATATAAGATTTTTTTAAAAAAAATCTTAAGGTTTAAAATTATATTTTACTTCTTTCCTTGATTATTTTTAAAATTGGGATATTTGTCATTTTATATTGAAGCATATTAAAAACCAAATTAAGTCATACATTATTTTTGTCATAATATTATATATAATAAGCATATATTCATTATTCTATTAAATCTAATTTATAGTACTTGTAAAAGTGGGATCCTATAAATTAAGTGATAGAATCAATTCCATTCCATAGAAGGAAAACTAGGGGAGGTGACATTTTTAGAATGTGAGATTCCTTAAGAAATTAAACTGAAATAAACCAAATAATAAATATTCATAATCTTAAGATATTATTTCCCCAATTACATGAACTTAACCTCCGTTTGTTTGCTGGAAAGTAGTTTTTCTTTTAAAAATAAATTCCAAAAAAGTAAATTATTTTTCGATATTTGGTAGTGTAATGAAAAATAAGTTGCAAAACACTTTACAGTGTTTGATTATATCATGAAAAATAAGATGAAAAATAACTTATTAATATTTTTTTTTCAAGTTTATTAAAATAATGAGAAACAAATTTTACAAATTAAAAAGTTGAATGAGAATGAAATTGAAAAAAAATCATAAATTATTTCAAATAAAATAAATAATAATCAAAATAATAAAAACCAAATCTAAAAAATTGAAATATGAAGAAATTAAAATAATAATAATTAACATTTCATAAATTATTTCAAATAAAATAAGTAACAATCAAAAGAATAAGGACTAAAATAAATAACAATTATAAAATGAAGATCAAAGTTAATATAAAAATTAAATTCTAAAGGATGTAATTGAAAAAAAAATATTCAAAACAATATATATATATATATTTGCTGATTATATCAAATTTAGTCCTTAAACTTTTGATTGTATATATTTGCTGATTAAAAGTTTGAGGACTAAATTTGATATAATCAGCAAATAATATGATATTTCTAAATTTTTCACAACTTCTGGAAAGCGTTTCCGTCCAAAATAAAAAGAAAACACTTTCCTGAAAACCAAACCAAATTTTTTCTTTGACTGAAAAGTATTTTCTATTGACCAACTTTTTTATTGACAAACAAAGAAATTTTAGAAAGTGGTTATTGACAAACAAAGAAATTTTAGAAAGTAGTTTCCCAAAAACCACTTTTCAGGAAACAAATACACCTTTAATATCACTTCAAGATGACATTCTAACTTAGAAAATTCAATACATTACCACAAATGTGGATACTTTGGCAAAACCTTACAAAAATAGAATGCGAACCAAATTCTCAATATGACTATAGGACTTAATATGTGACTTATGAGCACTTACACAAGAAAACAATTAAAGAAAAAAGAAAGGAAAGTGCACCTTTAAATAATAGATAACATAAGAAACAGGATATGATCTATAAATTTTCAATTTATTTGACTTTATCTATATTTTTATTTGCTATATAATTATTTGAAAATCTTTTCTAATATTTCTTTTTTCAAATTACAGAATTGATTAGAAGTCTTTATATTTCATTTCGTTGTTTTAATGTTTAGATTGTGTCGTGCGGTTTTGCCATTATGGTTAAAGTTCTACTATACATGTATGTAAAACTTGCAGTCGTAAGAAAAATACATGCAGCAGCAAAAATAGTAATGGTAACCATACTGATCAAAGGCTTTATCCAAATATTCCTGAAACTTGGAAACAGGTGAATTCAAAAGGGTTGTTTGATAAGATTATCATTACTCAATTAAAAGTATAAAAAAGAAAGAAGGTATAACGCTTTTATGGAATCATAAACATACTTTCAAGCAAGAAAAAGGAAAACCAACGGACGTGAAAGCATCACTTGATTAAGAGAACCTTGCCCTTGTTATATATTTGAAATGAATAAAAAAATAATACTTTCTTTAATGATCAAGGTATTTTTGGGGATGGTTTTCATGCAACAAGATTAGGTTTTCTTCAGGAGGGATAGTGTCCAAATTCAAACTTGTACGTTTTTAATCTATAAATTCCACTTCAAACAGATAAATACAATTAAATCAAAGAGATTAAAACGGCTTAAAGCCAGAAACCAGGGTATATTATCCAATCTTCAGTAATAAATTCAATTAAAAAATTACTAAACAACTAACGTGCTAATCTTCTTTCAAAAGAATTTGAAACGTTCATGTACGTACATATTTATTAGGAACATTCGCACTTGAGCAGCCTCTAAGACTATTATTGCGAAAGAAGTTTATCCATGATACCCTTAGGTCCTTCTTTCCCTAAGCACACTAGAGGGACATATACCGTCAATTTCTTAAGACAGACTGCAGTTGAAAAATTTCCTCGACAATCCCTGGATAGTTTATTTCAAGCTAAACTAGAAAAACTTAACTTCAACATACATCCAAGTTGATTCAAGAATTGAACCTTATTGACAATAAAATCTAAATACGCTGTTTCTTCCATCAACAACTACTGTAAGGGATGCTACCTCTTTGTTTTGAACTGACAAGAGATGCTACTTCATGTATATAACAGATCACGAATTGTTATTACAAGGGATCCTAACCTCTTCTGTTTTTTTAATGGACAAGAGATCCTACCACATATAACAGGTGTTTGCATGCATCATAATTATTGCATGATATTTTTTTTCTTTTTTCTATGACTAATCGATAATTAGTTTTCAACTTGGCATAGGCTTTGTTCCGCTAATCTAATTACCGAAATAATACCTCTTTGTACGCTTTTTTTTTTCTATTTTTTTTTTTTTTTGTAACTTGAAAACTTATAGGATATAAGGGTACAAGTTGATCTACGAACTCATAGTCTTTGCTCACTTTGTTAGTAATGAAGTGAAACTGCTAAAGTGTTTTACTCCTTAGGCAGTGTACCCAAATCTGATCAACAGGAAAGCCTACAATCATAATACTATCTCTATAAGTATACCAAAACACTCAACCCTGAGTTGGGCTCCTAGACCGTCATCTGCACAATTCAGATTTATTTGAGGCCAATATGCGCGATAAGTGGAGTTTATAATACGGATTTTCACCTCTATATCGTACACAAAAACTTCAAATCCCAGAGAGAAAAATAATTAGAAAGGAAAAAGGCATGAGAAAAGGAATCACTGGGATCGTAGTAGAGGATAACAAGACAATCCCAAAGTCCTGCAAGGATCAAGGTCTGTGCTACTATGTGTACACGTGTCTGACCTGTTTATTTCTGAGAGAGAGGCACACTAATGAGATCTTGCATAGAACCCTAGGGTGCAGGAACCATACCCGCATGGTACATGAAAATGAAAAGGAAAAACAATGCAGGAACTCAAAAGCTTCCATGGAAAGAGGAGGGTGGTTTGATAAGAATAAAAAGAGTGATACATGAATTAACTCTACATATATTGTATAAACCATGGAAGGAAAGCTGAAAAGTAGCGCAAAAGACGATACCTTGAGCTTCCAAATTCATAGAGCTTCCCTCTAGGAGAGAAGACGATAACGGCGACCTCAGCATCACAAAGAACTGATAGTTCAAAAGCCTTCTTCAGCAGTCCATTTCTCCGCTTAGAGAAGGTGACTTGCCTGCTTGTAGCGTTCTCTATGCGCCTCATTTGAGTCTTTCCTCTCACCATTTCTCTTTACCTTCTCAAGCATGTGAAGACCAATACATATTGAAAAGACTTAGCTTAGTTTACAGATTGATTTCTTCAATTAAAAAAAAAATAGAGTTTGCGAAGCAAAAAGGATTTGATTCAAAGAGGGAATGAGAAAAGTTAAGCTTACCAAATAGACTCCACCCAGATGGAAGGGTTCCTAGTTTCTAGGTAACGAGGAGGAAGAACTACAAAAATCTGGACTTTGGAAGCAACGACCAGACAACCCTGTTGAAGAAGCAACAGTACTCTTGATGGATTGATTCAAGGATGCAAGAGAGTAAATGCTATGGAAGTGGTCAATTGAAAAATGGTTTCAAGAAGCCAAAGGAATAGACAGAACCTCAATGAAAATGAGAGAAACCTACCGAATAGGCAAAAAACCCACGAGGTATTTAATCATGAAGAGAATGCTACAAGCAAGAAAAGGAAGCAGCCAAGGAAATCTGAGGATAAAAGGCAATACCCAAAAACAGCCAATAAGTTTTTTACTGAGAGAAGTAAAGATGCGGTTGATTTGCTCAAAGAAGATGTGCAAGGCAAACCACAAGGCATGCTCTCCAATTCATATACCACGGGAGAGGTGAAAAAAAAGGAGTCAATGAGGGGAGATTTGGAAATCTTACCGAATTGGCAATTACCCAGAGTGGCCTGTACTAGAGGAGCAACCGGAAAGAAATAAAGGTGACAAAAAAGGAACACAACTTGCTAAACAGTGAAAACCTGAGGTTTGTGGGTGATGGCCAAACCAGAAAGATTTTTGTCTGGCTACTATTTTTTAGTCTATTTTGTGATTGATGGATACTCAAATACCCTTTTTCAGTCACCACCCAGAGAGTCAGCAAAGACCTCGCACAACCAACCCACCTTTCCTTATTCATCAACCTTGTATCTTCATCAAAATTCCTCAAAACCCACCTATTAAGAGTAACAAAATTTAAAGAGTTATTACTATCATATATATATATATATATATATATATATATATATATATAAGAGGAAATTATTGCTAATTGAAATTAAATTTACTTGAAAAATTAAAATTCACATACTAGATTAAAAAAAATTAATTTGAGAAAATAATCAAAATACCCTCATATATATTATAACCAACATAAATTGATTGAAAACTATTCATTGAAATTGATTTCTCATCTCTCTTTCTCCGTGACAATAACAACTCTTTTTCTTGTTTTCTTGTAAATCAAACGATTAGAGATTTCTCTCTTTGTCTTGATTTGGGTCAACTAATTAATTTTAAAGTTGATTTTTAAGATGGTTTTTCTTTGGAATTTAGAAATTGATATGGGGTTTTTTGGAACACTTGATAATTATATTATTTTATGTGATACTAAGAAAAAAACAAGATGAGAAAGAGTTGGCCAGGACCAATTGCTTTGAGTTGTCTTGTTTAAGATATTTTAAGTTAGGTTTAGGCATTCCATCTACTTCGACGATTTGCTTTGTATGTTCTATAATGCTTTTTTATTTGGTCTTTTCTATATTAGAGGCCTCAGGATTTCTGTGTTCCATAATGCTTATTTTAAGTTAGGTTTAGGCATTCCATCTGCTTTGACGATTTGCTTTGTGTGTTCTATAATGCTTTTTTATTTGGTATTTTCTATATTAGAGGCCTCAGGATTTGTGTGTTCCATAATGCTTTTTTATTTGGTCTTGTCTATATTAGAGGCCTCAGGATTTAATTTAGTCTCCTCTATATTAGAGGTCTCAGGATTTGTGTGTTCCATAATGCTTTTTTATTTGGTCTTCTCTACATTAAAGGCCTCAGGATTTTCATTAGCCATGACTTGATCTTTGAAAGAAATCATGCTCTAATACCAAGTTAGGTTTTTATCCTCTAGTCATCAAGCATTTTGTTTTTACCGGTTAAAATTAAAATTATTCCTTTTTTATTTATAAATGCATGAAGAATGGGACCCGTTTAAAGAATTTTTTTCTTAATAGTACCCTTGTTTTCATCTTGGTTTTCTTCTTTTGATTTATGAAAACATGAACAATAGGGCTGGGTTTTTGTTGAATCTTCTATCTTTATTAATCAAAATTAAAATTTAGGTCTTTATTGAATCAAGGTTTTTATAAAATGAATATTAAGTGGGATATTAAAAATTACAAAAGACCTTAGAGACAAACCGAAACTATAATTATGACATCACTGGTACAATCATAAAGATCTCCACGAAACAAATCTAATGACACTGAGGGAGGTCACTAACAGGAGTGGGCACACTCTCCATCCAAAGACAACTGCGCAATTACAACAAGGAGATATAAGAGAGAAAGAAAAAAAAGAAACCTCGGAGGCATCTCCAAGCTATGTTTGGGGAATTATCATCTTGCTTATGTTTTTTTGTTCGTAGATGTCATGTTAAAGAAATGATATTATAGGTTTTTATTTTTGTTAAAATGCTTGTGTGACCTTGTAAAATGTTATTTTTTATTGGCCTTTGAAGCTAGTAGAAATTTGAAAAATATGCAGTATGATTTTAGTATGGAGATGGGTTTTGAATATTTTAGTGATTAATTTAAGATGTTTGGACTTTTATATTATTTATTTCACTTTTATTTTAATTGTGTTATATTATTATTTATTACTTAATTAAAATTATCAATATATAATTAGTTAAATTATTTCACTTATGATTTTATAATTCGAGTTTACGATCCAAGTTTATATTGTATATTCTGTGTCGTGTCAAAAAGGTGTTTTTGACAACCTTAATTTGAGTTTTTATTGAATTTGGGTTACTATGAAATGAGTACTAAATAAGATCTTGAAAATTACAAAAGATCTTAAAGGCATATCGAATTAGAAAGATCTTTACAAAATGAATCTAATGACACCGAGGGAGATCACTAACAAGAGTGGACACTCTCTTCATCCAAAGACAACTGCACAGTTACAACAAGGAGATGTGAGAGAGAAAGAAAGAAAAACCTTTAAGGCATCTCCTAGCTATATATGTGAAAGTATCATCTTGCTTACACTTTATTATTCGTAGATGTGTGTGTTAAAGGAATGATGTTATTGGTTTTTTGTGTTTGTTAAAATGCCTATGTGAACTTGCAAGATGTTATTTTTTTGTTGGCCTTTGATGCCAATGGAAATTTGAAAAATATACAGTATAATTTTAGTATGGAGATGGGTTTAGAATATTTTAGTAATTAATTTGATGTTTTGATTGAAAATCAAGTTTTTTTTTCACTAGATATGTAGTTACGCATTGGAATTCTTCCTATCAAAATATTAAATCCTTAAAATTATTAAAGTGTGAAGCTTGGTATATTATATCTTTGGATTTTGATGATTCAAAGTTATGGTGGATTAATGGAGTTAATTTGTGGGGGGATATGTGTTTATAATTAAATTAAACAGTACTTTGATAGTCAATATGTTAAAACCAAGTCGGTGATTTATATTTATCTTGTTGATGATCTTTTGGTATCCAATATACTTAGGAATAGAGTTTAGGTATTTAAATGATAGATGATCACATGTTCATGTTAATATTTCATTTTTAGAAACTGGAAGAGCAAAGGATCGATGGTTGAGGTCTCAGTTCTTGTAAAACAGTCCTTTTTGTAGGGGGTTTGAGACCCTCTAGTGATTAATTTAGTGACTTTATAGCAAGAAATTATAATAAATAAAGAAATAAACAATAAACTTTAAGAACAAGAATTTTTGTTCTTAGTCTTTTGTAATAAATGCTTTGATAATATATAATAAGAGAATAAATATCATAAATCTTTTTCTTGGATGATTTAGAGAGTATTTATAGCCCTTATTCTATAAATCATATTCCTTTTCTTAAGGAGCCGAAAGTTTTTTCCTATCAAATATTTTAGTAAGGAAGAAATCCCTTACATCAATATTAATTTTGATGGGAATGTCTTTTACACAGTATTAATATTGATAGGAATTATCTTTTCACATCTTTAGTATTGATAGACAAATAGTAGAGCTATAGAAGATTTTTATGCCTTATTTTGTATTCAACATTAATGTGGATGAGAATAACTCATTTGTAGCATAAATGTTAATTGAAATATATTTAGCTCTTAAAGGAATTTCACACGCCTAAAGGTGTAAGAAAATGACTATCCTAATATTTATCATTATATTAGATCCATGTATATTTGGGCCTAGTGTAGACCTGATGGATTTTTGGTTAGGACATCTCACTAGACCCTCAAGGAATTAGGCCTAGCATAATGCCAGACTCACAAGTATTTGAGTTCAACACTTAGCTGAGCCCTAAAGCGTTGGGTATGGCATCTCTTCAAATTTACAAGTATTTATTCTCTGCACGTAGTCAAACTGAAAAGGGGTTAGATCTGGTATCTCGCCAGATTCACATGTGTTTGGGTTCAACACGTAGCCAAGCTCTAGAGTGTTGGGTCTAATATCTTATCATACCTACAGATCCTCGAGCTCAACACATAGTCAGGCCCAAGAGTCTTAGGTTTGACATCTTGACAGACTCACAGACGCTTAGGCTCAAGACCTAGTTGAGCCTAAGGGTGTTGGGTTTGACATCTTGTCAGGCTCTCAAGCGTTTGGGATTAGCATACAACTAAGTTCAAGGGTGTTGGGTTTGGCAAAAGAATTTGACCCACATCACCCGAGTTTGTTATCTTGTCAAGCTTATGCATGATAGGTCATCACCGTATCTTTGGCCTTTCCATTTATAAGTCTGAGTCGTATAAAATATATCGATACATCACTCATTCTAACTTCTAAGATGATATTTGTTTCTTGTTTTCTATAAGAAATACAAAGAGAGAAGAAAAAATCAAGTAATTACTTGTAAAGATTTAGGGGGTGTTTGAAAATATAGTAGCGGTTACTTTTTAAAGTGTTTTTCATTTATAAATGCATCAAAATAATAATTTTTATTTTTTAAAAAATATTTTTTCTATCAACACATCAAAATAATATAAAAATAAAATAAAAAATAAAGTTTTGCTTAATACTTGTTTAGAATGCAATATCATGCGAGCTTATGGCCAGAGTTTTTCTTAAAAAGTTATTGTTTTGTGCTTGATGACTGATAGAGTTAAAGATGGTATTCCTCGTGATCTTACTTGTGTGGTTTTTGGTGCCTTGAAACACAGTGAGCCTTGATTTTGAGTTTTCTATCATATCAAGCTTTCAAGTGTTTTACCGATTAGATGTATAGTTTTCAGCACTCAAATTCCTTGCGAT